ATACAGTTTTAAACCTGGTAAACTGCATAAGAAGCTAGCCAAGCATAACGTAACTAAGATATATATTTAACTTAGTTAAGCATGCCAAGGTGAATTCAGGGTTGTTGTTTTTTTGTATGCATCCTGTGTCGTCTGTCTAAAACCAGGTTTGTCCAACCTTGCAACGTTAAGACTTGTGGACTTCAACCCCCAGAATTCCCCAGCCATCATAAATACCCCTGGCTAAGGCATACTGGAAGTGAAACCAGCTTAAAATGTTTTGGGATTTCAGCCCTTGCTTTGGCCACTGACCACTCATTTTTCTGACCTTACCGGATTGAGAATAGATTCTGACTGGGGGTTTCCTTATTTACTTATTTTTAATCTTGCCATTACCAGTGGGTGGGGGGGAAAGGAAGAAAGAAAAGGAAATAATACTGTTGTGTTGTGTTTCCTATCAGTTGGGCCAGGAAAAGAGAGTGGCAGTTTCTTGTCCATTTTACCTGGATAGAGAAATTGGGGATAGGTGGGGGGGTGGCATTGTTTTTTTTAAATTTTTATTGTTTTTTTTTACTTTAATGTTTATTTTTTCTGTGTTGTGTTTCTCTTGTTTGCAAGCTGCCTAGAGTCACCGTTAGGAATAATAACGGCTATATAAATTTTCTAAATGAAGAAAGAAAAGAGAGGTGAAGGAAGGAAAGGAGGAAGGAAGGAAGGAAGGAAGGAAAGCAAGCTGGGTCCCCCAGTTTCCTTGTCCCCTTCACTTAAAAATAAATAAACAACCATTTTGCATTGCCCAATCGAGTCAACATGTTTAAAAAAAATAAAAAGACCACTGTTTCACAAAAAAACCCCAAAAGGTAAAAGTGGCAGACAGGAATAAGTGCCTGGAGGGAGGGGCCGTTTGCCAAGGCTTCAGCTGGGAAAACAGGATAAAGAGTGTGTGCGCGCACAGCACCTCGCTAGAAGCAAAGCGTACATTATCTTTGTTTGTCACGTCTTATCTGGGTTCTGGTGTCCTCCCGACTGTGTGTGTTTCATTATCTTTTGAAGTCTGCAATCCCTTATCCTGCCCTGTCTCATCAATTGCTGCAGCTTTGTGGTTTGCGTTGGTTTTTATTTATCATCTATATGTACTTTGGGTTCGGATGGAATTTCTTCCCTTTAAAACCTGTTCTTGGGAGAGCTTTTTCTCCAGCCGAGGATAACTGGACATTGGGGGCCAAGTTGGAGGAATTGAAAGGACTTTACCTGCTTTTGTGAGTTTGTTGCTTTTGTGGGTCATCACACTGGGTCATCACGGCAAGGTCGTTGAAAACCCAATAGGAAAGGGAAGCCTTATGTGCGCCACCTTGAATGAAATAAAGGCAGGATGCAAGGAAATCAATAAGGAATCAAAAAGCAAGACCAAAAACAGAAAGTTCAAACTTGAGTTTGGCGGAGGATGGGGAAGCGCTCCCTTTCATGTGTAGCCAGAAAACACAGGTGGCAATTGTGATAGTTGCTGGCAGGGTAGGTGGAGGGTAATATTAGCTCTCCGTGCCCACCAGACCCAGTGGGCGGCTGGTCCTGCTGGCGTGTTTTAAGTTCAATTCCTGAGCACGGCAAGAGACAACAACTGTGGGTTTTTTAGCTCTTGAGAGGGCATGTCCAACCTTTAGAAAAGCGAGTTTTCTTTGCTGACACGCAAGGCATTATTTGGGAAAGGAGAGGGCAGCACAGGTAGTCCTCGACATACGACCACAATTGAGCCATACGTTGCTGTGGCTGAGTGTGACAGTTGTTCAGTAAGTTCTGCCCCGTTCGAGGACCTTCTTTGCCACAGCTGTTAAGTGAATCACTGCAGGTTTAATTAGGAACACGGAGATTAAGTGAATCTGGCTTCCCCATTGACCATGTTGGTCTGAAGGCCACGGGTGTGTGTGTGTGTGTGTGTGTGTGTGTTACATAAAACCCCAGGACACTGCAACCGTCGTAAATACGAATCCAGTTGCCACGCGTCTGAATTTTGATCACGTGATCATGAGGATGCTGCAATGGTTGTAAGTGTGAAAAGGGGTGATGTCACTTTTTTAGGATAGGAGAGGATAGAATCAATAGGGAATAGAATAGAATAGAATAGAATAGAATGCAGAAAAGGAAAGAAAGAATAGAATAGATTAGGATTCAGAATAGAATAGGAATAGAATAGAATAGAATAGAATAGAATAGAATAGAATAGAATAG